CTCAGTGCTATCGTGTGCTTAATACAAGAAGGGGAGGAAGTTTAGTAATTTTCCAAAACTTTTTCCACCCACAAAAGTTTATTAAGACCACCCCCCTCCCATTTATTAATCTCAAAACTTAAAAAAAATAAAAAAATCTCTTTAATCTTTGTTGAAGAAAAGGTTTTGGTTTTAATAAAATAAGCTTTTCCTCACTTTATACAAGTAAACTAAATCCAATTGTAATTATAAAACTGTTGTTAAAAGATGCATAGTTGACCACAATCCACACTAACTTAAATTGATTTATGCATGTTCTGTAAAAAAAAAAAAAAAAAAAGCCAACCCTTAAATTAAGATTACCTTATTTATTAGGTCAGGAATAAAATTTACACCCTTCCTTGTATTAAGCATTTAAGAGTAGTACTAAATTAAAAAATATATATACATTTTAAACAAATTTAAACAATTTTTTTTATTAAAGCAAGCTTTAAATTGCACAAAGCTGCACACGATAAAATAATATCATCCATATGATGAAGCATTGAAATAAGTAATACATTTTTTAAGATTCGAAAGGTTTTTATTCTGTTTATGGCCCTTTCTATGTGAATTCTTAAGTTAGCAACATCAGTAGTCTTCTTACATTCACTTGCAGTCATTTGACTTTTTACTCTTGCACCTGGTGGGACTGATAAGCTGCAATAACGAAATAATAGTTCTTCTCTTATTTGAAATCCTCTGTCTGCCATCACCTCATCGTCTCTTTCCAACAGATCATAAAAACCACTGTCACTTGTAATAAATTTATCTGATGCTCTGCCACCATAACATTTAGATAGAAACGTTATGTATCCATTTGGTGCTATACCAATTAATACTTTCACAGTTGTGGTGCTTATAATCAGACCAAGTCACTGCTTGGTTGTAAAATGGACTTTGGACGTTCAATAAATATTTCAAAACAATCAAGAATCACTCTACACTTGTGATGCTTTTGTGATGCTTTCACAAAAGACTGTGGCAAGTTTTTTTTTATGACTTCACTTGGCAGCCAAACAATAATAGCTTGTCCAAGAATATTAGCAATAATTCTAATAAAAGTTGTAAAAGTATTAGAACACAAAGATTTTGAAATACCAAAACGATCAGCCATATCTTCATTTAAAAGACCTAAGCGCAACCGCATAAGTGTCATTAAAAATTCTTCTCTGTGTGATAACAGTTTACATTTAGATACAAATTTGAGTTGCTTAACTTTGCTACGTAAAAGTTTTGGGCCTCTCCAATAACGAATAGAGGGTAAAAATGGTTTTAATAAACCAAAAATAACGTTAAAAATAGCAATGGAAGAAATAAAACAAACAGTCAAGTCTAGACAAAAATTCTCTTAGAGATTAGTTAACAATGAAAATGAACTTTTATACTATTATATCTATACTTTTTTTTTAATTTTTAATTTTTAATTGATTAGTAAGGCTATTTACTTTACTCACGTAAGAGGTGGTTCACATAAGTGAAGATTTATACATGAAGTACATTTATTAGATAGTGGTAAACTCATTGAATAGGTATGATCTGATAATATAGGTGATAAAACATCTGCATTAAAACTAACACTTGGAAACTTGGTGACAATACTTTTTTCAGTCAACAAAGGTTCTACAGGCTGCATTCTATTAGAGCAAGGTAAAGAAGTGATTGGGTGCTTTAATAAAATTCTTCTAGCTTTTTTTTGTACAGGTTGATCAAAACCCATATTTATTGTTGGGTTAGGGTTCATAACAATTGGTATTTTATCAAAATAATTATCAGAGCATACTCTATCAGCAGTTCCAGGTTCCCATGCACTTCCTTTCTTCTTTCCTTCTAGTCTATGCTGACTAATCCAGTGTTTTCTTTTTTCGCTATTTCTCTTTAAACTTGGGTAACAAAACATTCGGAATGGTAACTCACATCCACACTTGGGTAATATCTTCCCTTCGTGTTGAAAATGCGTTTTATTTTTCAGTTTTTCTAGCTTTTAGGAACTATTGGTACATCCTATAACAGCACAATTAACTTTCATCTTATCACTGTATATTTGCAACTGAGAAAATATTTACCCTTCTAAATTCGTTCCAGAACATTTTTTTGCACGATATTAATAATGGCAGAACTTCACTTGAACTGGTGTATTGCTTCTTGCGTGCAAAGATTGTTTTCTTGTGCGCATAATTCGATAATATTTTTTATTTGAGAGTCTATAGGTCTTTTACCTCGTTTTTTTAAAATCAGAAAACGACTTGAATGCCGTTATGTTGTCGAATTATCCTCTGTTTAACTTAACAACAAGATTTTGAACTGTGTGCTTTGATAAATTAAGAGAAGTGGAAATACTTATTGTAGATTGATTTCTTTCAATTAACTGCTGAAGCATTTCAATGTGCTCTTTTGTAACATTTTTCCTTGTTTTACGATTGGTACTGCTATTTTCTATTCCATCCATAGGGATGTATAATTTGATATTAATAATAATTATAAATAATTAAATTTAAATCTATATAAATGAATAATTAGATAACTTAATCAATAAAGAAATTTAATAGTAAAATTACAAAGAACTAATACTAAATTAAATAAACTATCATCGAAAACAAAGAACTAATACTAAATTAAATAAACTATCATCAAATGTAAAAAGTCTTCAATTTAAGTATTTTTAACCTCATTTACCTGGAAATAAGAAAAGTTTGTTTTGAAAAAATAAACTGTTTTTTCAAAACAAATTGCTTAAACGATTTTTTTTTTGTTCAAATTGCTTTTTTACAATTGCTTTAAGTATATATATACTTGCATACTTGTATAAGTATATATATACTTGCAATAATATATGTTATAATAGTATGAGTCTATTATATATTTGTTAAGTGTATAATCAAGTATATAAAATATTATTTACTTGATAATATTTAAATGACGCATTCAGTTTAAATGAGAAAGCAGTTTTTTATTTTTTACAAACAATGAATGAAGTCATTACTGCTAACAGATAGAATGGATTATTTACTATTTTCAAAACGTTTTGTCGTAATGATAATTTAAAGTTTAAATAAAAAAATTAAAAATTAAAAAAAAAAAAAATTTTAATCCACAAGATTTTGTAAAAACAAAAGATTCTTTTCCTTTATTGTTTTTAATTTTTCACAAATAAAAGAAATATTCTTAATCTTTTTAACTATTTTTTATTTTAAATCAAATTAAAAACCTTTCTTTTGTTTAAAATGTCCGCATTCAAGCATGTTAATTAAACTCCAAAAAGGAAACAAAGTTATGTAGTCATCTTTTAGTAAATGTTTTTATTATTTTATTCATTGTTTTTATTTAAAAGTAAGTAACATATTTTTTCTGGTAGATAGACAAATGCATTAACTAAAAAACCAAAGCTTTTTTTGTCTGATTTCTCAGACTTCACATAAAAAAAATTCAAACAAAAAATCCTCCATGCTTTTCCTTGTACAAACTGGTACATTTTTGAGTGACCCATACTTGCATATGCAATTTATTGATGGCCCCATGGCAACCATTTTCCAATTCTGAATATCGCTCTCAAAGACTTGATACAGAGTGTGCATAATCATGCTCGTTGATAATGTATTTTAATATTATGAACGCGAAATATTGCGCTGGGCGTCTTTATTCATCACATGCACTGTGTATGTATGTATGTATGTATGTATGTATGTATGTATGTATGTATGTATGTATGTATGTATGTATGTATGTATGTATGTATGTATGTATGTATGTATGTATGTATGTATGTATGCATGTATGTATGTATGTATATTTATATATCAACTATAATATATATTGATCAGCAATTGCTTACTAGTTATGGCATATGGCCTTTTCAGGAAAAAAAAATAAAAGCAAACATTTCTGCCCTATCTTAAACCCTCAGTTGATGTAGGAGCACTCTTACGGTAGCAGGCTATAAAGGTGAGTTTCTACTCATCCGTTTTTTTTACGGGAACAGGATAGGGAAGGAAAAAATAATCATTAAAACTTATACTACATATGACCACATGATTATTTTTCCCTTCCCTTTCCCATTCCCGTAAAAAAACAGAAGAGTGGCAACAAACTTGAATACATAAATTGCCTAACTGCTAAAGTCCGCCTAAACGAGGGGGTACTGCCTTCCAAATTTTTTTCCTAGAATAGGCCCTGATTAGGGATGTGACTTTTTGGTAACTCCAGTTTTTTAATATAAAAAGCAGATAAACTTTGGTTTGAAAGTAACTGAAAAGTCATTGATTTTATTTAATTTTTAGTAAAAGTCACCCTCCATGAACCTTGATTACACAATGGCTCCCATATATCAGTGAAATTTTTTTTCTTCAAAAGTATATCAACCTGAATCTCAAAAGAACCAGAATTTCATAGAGATTTCAGAAATAATAATGGTTTTAAAAATTGTATAAATTTTATATACAAAAAACCACTATTTTCAACTAAAAATTGAAAAAATCATTTTTTATGGCATTTTGTTTGCAATATATCTTTTTAAAAATATTTCAGTAGAAAAGATTATAAATTTTGAAATCACTGTAAAATTCTGGTTCATTTGAGACCCAGGTTTATAAATTTTTGAAGAAAAAAAAATTCAATGACATGGAAACCAGTGTGTAATCAAGGGTCGTGGAGGGTGACCTTTTTCAAAAATTAAATAAAACCAATGACTTTTCAGTTACTTTCAAACCAAAGTTCATCTGTTTTTTATATTAGAAACTAGAGATTCTAAAAAATTACGAAAAAGTCACATCCCTAATATATATATATATATATATATATATATATATATATATATATATATATATATATATATATATATATATATATATATATATATATATATATATATATATATATATATATATATATATATATATATATATATATATATATATATATATATATATATATATATATATCTGTGTGTGTATTTATATTGTATAGCTATAATGTTTTATTTTTAGCTATTACAACATTTAGAAGCTTGTCAGAAGATGAACTGTTGCATTTTCATAATAATATGTCGAGAGATTTGATTGAAAAGAATTTTGCAACTGTTGAGGATGAGGTTGTGATCAAAAAAGATAGTTTTAAGAGAAAAGAAAATTGTTATCAATTATCAGATGATAAAAGTTTTAGAATTAAGAACACGGATATAAAAATGGACTTTTCAAAGATGGCTAATATAGGATCTTCAGAAAAAGCACCTTATGTTGCCCACAATGATTCAGATCTGAAAGAATTACAAAACATGTTTTTAAAAAAAAAAAAAATCAAAAAACTCAAAACTGATGAGCATTCTGATGCCAGTGAGAGTGAAAGTGAAAATGATGAATGCATAAATGTAGTTATACCACAAGGTGTGTGTATGTTTACATATATATATATATATATATATATATATATATATATATATATATATATATATATACATATATATATATATATCTATACATATATATATATATATATATATATATATATATATATATATATATATATATATATATATATATATATATATATATATATATATATATATATATATATATATATATATATAAATATATATATATATATATATATATATATATATATATATATATATATATATATATATATATAAAAGTTTTCCCCGGAAGTGCGTGCGGTCACACCCCTTGTTCATCTGTGTTTAAAGTAATTTTTTTAGACAATTTTACCGCGTTTTTATATAGTAAGTTTTTTAAGACTTTGGGCAAAAAAAAGCTATAAGAAACTACTAAGAATAAAACCGCAATACTTCAAAAAAAGAAATAAATACCATATGAAATAGAAAATCTAAATAAAATCAACTAAAAAGAAATGGAAAGTTAAAAAAAAAATTGTTAAAATAATAATATACCTAAATATTTTACTGTTTTTAGGCATTTATTATTTTCGACTACCAAAATTTATACAAGTTGAAAAGAAAAGAAGATAATAATATGATAAATATAAAAATATTTGTAATTCACTGAACTTTTTTAATAAAATCTTAAGGTGCCTTTTTAAAACTTTTTAAAAATACATTTGTAAAAGAAACCATGCAGTTCTTATATTTAATTTTTCCGTCATTACAAAATTTATTAATCAATTAATATATTTTACAAATAAATAGCAAATTTATTTTATTGTTTTTCTATTATATAAGTATTGAGAAGAAACGTTAAATATATCAAAAACATTTTTAAAAGTGTAAAGATGTGAAAACAAATAAACTTAAGAAAAAATTAACAAAATTTCTTATAGTTCTAGCCTACATTGCAAATTAGTTTCTCAATTATACGGGCTGATAAAAATTGTGAATAAATTGCAAATCAAAACTTTCAATTGTTGTTACATGGCTATAAAATATAATATGTTTTTTTCTCATAAAGTATCAAGTACTAAGTATTAAGTTCGGTAGCTGAAAATAACAACCACCCTAAATAAATGTATATGTATATATATATACCCTAAATAATGTATATGTATATATATATATATATATATATATATATATATATATATATATATATATATATATATATATATATATATATATCTACTATAGCATATTTATATGCGCAATTGCTCACTTTTTTTGCTAGCCTAAATTAAGTGAGCATTTTTAGAAAACGATGAGGGAAAACGAAGAATAATGAATGAAAATGTTGCTGACCCATACCAAACCCTCAGTCGATGTAGCAGCACTCCACGGCGAGTCAGGCTATTTGTCAGTCGATGTATGTACTGAAGCCACCGGCAGCAGGCTATTTGACATTAGGTGAGTATGACATCATCATGCTCACCTAACTCAGCAGTATAAGATATATACATATACATAGACATACTTACATATACATGTATATATATATATATATATATATATATATATATATATATATATTTATGTATGTATGTATATGTATATATATGTATGTATATGTGTATATATAATTTATATACATACATATATATATACATGTATATACATATATATATATATACATATATATATATATATATATATATATATATATATATATATATATATATGTATGTAAGTATATGTGTGTATATATATATATATATATATATATATATATATATATATATATATATATATATATATATATATATATATATATATATATATATATATATATATATATAAATATATATATATATATATATATATATATATATATATATATATATATATATATGTATGTATGTATGTATGTATGTATATGTGTATATATATATACATATATATATATATATATATATATATATATATATATATAAATATATATATATATATATATATTTATATATATATATATATATATATATATATGTATATATATATATATATATATATACACATATATATACACATATATATATATATATATATATATATATATATATATAAATATATATATATATATATATATATATATATATATATATATATATATATAAATATATATATATATATATATATATTTATATATATATATATATATATATATATATATATATATATATATATATATATATATATATATATATATATAAAAATATAAATATAAATATAAATATATATATATATATATATATATATATATATATATATATATATATATATATAAATATAAATATAAATATAAATATATATATATATATATATATATATATATAAATATAAATATAAATATAAATATAAATATATATATATATATATATAAATATAAATATAAATATAAATATAAATATAAATATATATATATATATATATATATATATATATATATATATATATATATATATATATATATATATATATTAATATATATATATATATATATATATATATATATATATTAATATATATATATATATATATATAAATACATACATTAGAGTGCCTCTTAAAACAACTTTTTTTGAAATTGTCTGCTGCCACCCCCTAAATGTGTTCTATGTAATAAATTAACACTAAATTAAAAAAAGTTTTGAATAAAAAAAAATTTTAGGGGTCGCTCAAGACCCTTAAACATCAAACGGGTCTCTAATATTTTGAAAATAAAAGTTCTTCAAAAGTATATCATGTTGGGTCTCAAAAGAAGTGAAATTTTATGAAAAATCTTGAAATAATAAAAATTATTTATGGAAACACAAATAATTTTTTTTTTTTTAAATAACTTTGAAAATGTACACTTTTTATTTTTTGTTAAAAAATGATTTTTTGTTAAAAAATGTTTTTAAGCCATAAAATTTAAACTAGTAATCTTCATATAAAATTATTAATACACTCTAGACTTCAATAAAATATTAAATTTTAGTCCAATTTCTATTAATATACTATTGTTTTTTTCTCTCTAACACAACAAATTATTGTTTTTTTTCTCTCTAACAAATTATGTGATTACTCAGATTTTAGTTGCAGTGATTTAAAATTTTTTTTTTTTTTTTTGTGTGATGTTTAATTGGTTTTATTTGTTAATAGTGTCATTTAATTTAGAATATTGTTTTGTGCTAAACAACTGTTATTTTAATTATATATGGTGTTCCTGATATCACTTGATTGTGTTCTTTTTGATTTTCTCTTTATCATTCTTTTGTATTTAATAGCATTACCAGGTTCTTTTTTTTTTCTATAGTTAAATATTAGTGTCAATATTAGTAGTTAACACTAGCTAACAAAATCATTAAAAAATTTTTCTAAACTGTAAATTGTTATTTATCATTACCACTAGATGATAAATCTCTTTAAATAATAAATTTTTTTTTTTTATAAACATTATTTTAATTTTTTTTTAGAAAATGCTTTTATAATGTTTAGTCGATAAATAAAATAAACAAAAAATAAATAAAATTTGATTTGTTTATATTGTTTGTTTTATGTAGATGTTATAAACTGTTTGTTTTATATAAATGTTATAAATTATTTGTTTTATATTGATGTTTTAATTCGTTGTTTGTTAAATTATAGAACTTAATATTATTTTGGCTTTAAAAGATAACGGTTGATCATGTTTTTTGATTGGTCAAACAAGTTTTTGCAAATAATAGGGAATTTTTTTCAATTGCTTATGATTAAATATTATTAATATAAAAAAATTTATTTGCTAGTCTGCAAATTTTATATTTTAATAGAAGTGAAAATAACCTGTTTAATAAAATGTCTGTTTAATAACAGTGAATAGGTCTTTTATCTTATAAGTAATGTTTAAAAAAAAAATTGTGGAGTGTAAAAGGTAATATAAAAAAAACAAAACACTATTGAGGAGTGTAAAATTTGTATAAGAACTTTTGTGGAGTGTTAAACAATTTTATCCAAAAGATAACATAAAATATACACACCTAGTAGTTATATATATCTCTATTAGTCTTGCAATTAAAAAATATTTCCAAGACTCTCAAAAAATATTTTTTAAACTCTCAAAAAATATTTTTTAAACTCTCAAAAAATATTTTTTAAACTCTCAAAAAATATTTTTTAAACTCTCAAAAAATATTTTTTAAACTCTCAAAAAATATTTTTTAAACTCTCAAAAAATATTTTTTAAACTCTCAAAAAATATTTTTTTAACTCTCAAAAGATATTTTTTAAACTCTCAAAAGATATTACTTACACTCTCAAAAGATATTACTCAAAAATAATTTATCAGACTCAAAAAATATTTCTTAGACTCAAAAAACATTTCTTAGACTCTCAAAAAATATTTCTTGGATTTTCAAAAAATATTTTCAATTTCCTAGACTAAAAAACTAAAAACTTGTTCTTCGTACTCTCACTTAAAAATTTGATGTTCTTACAAACATCCTGTTATATTTTTGTTAAGTTGTTTAGACAACACCTCTTTACAAACAGTTTTTTTTTAGACAACACCTCTTTACAAACAGTTTTTTTTTAGACAACACCTCTTTACAAACAGTTTTTTTTTTAGACAACACCTCTTTACAAACAGTTTTTTTAGACAAAACCTCTTTACAAACAGTTTTTTTTTAGACAACACCTCTTTACAAACAGTTTTTTTTTAGACAACACCTCTTTACAAACAGTTTTTATTTAGACAACACCTCTTAACAAACAGTTTTTTTTTAGACAACACCTCTTTACAAACAGTTGTTTAGACAACACCTCTTTACAAACAGTTGTTTAGACAACACCTCTTTACAAACAGTTATTTTTTAGACAACACCTCTTTACAAACAGTTTTTTAGACAACACCTCTTTACAAACAGTTTTTTTTAGACAACACCTCTTTACAAATAGTTGTTTAGACAACACCTCTTTACAAACAGTTGTTTAGACAACACCTCTTTACAAACAGTTTTTTAGACAACACCTCTTTACAAACAGTTGTTTAGACAACACCTCTTTACAAACAGTTGTTTAGACAACACCTCTTTACAAACAGTTGTTTAGACAACACCTCTTTACAAACAGTTTTTTAGACAACACCTCCTTACAAACAGTTATTTAGACAACACCTCTTTACAAACAGTTGTTTAGGCAACACTTCTTTACAAACAGTTTTTTTTGATGAAATAGTTTAACAGAATGAGTAGTGGAGTCTACATCAGTTAAAATTTCAAATCCAATTTTATACTAATTGATTTACAAATAATAATAAACAAATAAATAAAAAAAACTGCAGTTAAATATTTAGGCAATTGTTATATTGGTTGTTTCAGATACTGCCTGGCAACAGCATTTGAATTATAATTGTTATTATCATAGTTGCTTTTTTATATTTAAAATAATTTTATTTTAAATTCATCATTTTTTGTAACATAAGGTATTTTTTGCATTTTATGCTGTTGTAACTTTTTAAAAAAACCTTTTTCTTACTTAATTTAATGGTTTAATTTTGTAACCTTTTTTTATAACAATGTTTTTCATGCAATTATTTTTCGTAGGACACATTTACATTCAATATTTTTTAAAATTTTCAAGTTTCTAAAATAAAAAAGTCCAAAATAAAATAAAAGATTTTATTTTTAGTTTTTGCACCACAAAGAAGTTTGTCAGAAGATGAATTGATGCAATTTCATAATGACGTATTGGAAGATTTAATTGAGAAAAACTCTATAATTGTAGAGGATGAGCTTGTAATCAACAAAGATAGTTTTGTCAAAAAAGAAGTTAGTTACCAGTTTTCTAAGGATAACAATTTAAAAGATCAGAATATGAATATAAAATTTGACTTTTCTACGATGAAGAGAATTGAATCAAGTGACAAGCCATCAATAGAGCAATTCAATGTTACACACAATGATTTAGATCTAATAGAATTGCAGAAAGCACTTTCGAAAGAAAATCAAATCAAAAAGTTAAAAACTAATGAACACAGTGATACTAGCGAAAGTGAAGATTGCATGATCACTCCTCAAGGTGTGTGTTTTCACACCTTAGTTTTATCAATCACTTTTCTTTTAAATAATGAAAATATTTATTAAAAAAGTTCTTTTATATATTTAATAATGTGCATAAATAATCCAGTAAGTATTTTATAATAATGTAAAAATAATCCAGTAAGTATTTTATAATAATGTAAAAGTAATCCAGTAAGTATTTTATACTAATGTAAAAATAATCCAGTAAGTATTTTATAATAATGTAAAAATAATCCAGTAAGTATTTTATAATAATGTAAAAATAATCCAGTAAGTATTTTATAATAATGTAAAAATAAGGTTAAAATACTTTAATGAACATAAATTGAAAAAGTGAAATACTTTGATGAACATAAATTAATCAAAATTAGTTTTTTAATTTTGATTAATTTATGCTTTTAAAATTAATTACTTTTAATGTTTTTTCTAATTACTTTTAATGTTTTTTCTAATTACTTTTAATGTTTTTTCTAATTACTTTTAATGTTTTTTCTAATTACTTTTAATGTTTTTCTAATTACTTTTAATGTTTTTTCTAATTACTTTTAATGTTTTTTCTAATTACTTTTAATGTTTTTTCTAATTACTTTTAATGTTTTTTCTAATTACTTTTAATGTTTTTCTAATTACTTTTAATGTTTTTTCTACTTTTCATATGTTTTTAATATTCTAAATGTTGCTTTTTTATAATTCAAACAAAAAATTGGTTTCACAAAAATTAGTTATAAAGTGCTTAATATTAATAAAAACACTGCTAATGAGATTGGGGCAGGGTTACAAAATAAATTCTAAAAAGTTATTCTACTACCCATTACCATTCTAACTACAGTTTTCTTTTTTTGTTTCTTATTAACATTTATATTATATAAAAAATATTGTTACACCTTTTACCTATAATTTTTATTTTATTTTAGTTGTTAATGATGTTGCCCATAATAAAATTGGTAATTTTTTTTTCTCTGTAAGAGCAATTGTATTTTATAACAGCAGTTAAAACAGTATAATATAAATATATATTTTTTTAGTTACAACAGGCTCTAATGAAAAAG